GTTCAAGTTTGAACTCTCGAATCAAACCGTGAACCCAAGAAGTAATGAAACCGCCATAGCCTTCACGCAGGAGCTGGGAAATGAAAAGCCTAGGAGTGCGTTCAGTGGTTAAAGCGACGGGCAACTTTTGGCAGTGTTGGGTTCAGAAGTTTTTTTTTTTGAACCAGGCTTGCCAGCGCGAAAGTGCTGGCTGGCGAAAACCAGGATTTCGTGCGGACACTTTCCATCCGCAGTAACAGTTCGCCAGGGTTCTGGGTTTTGGGTGGCAAATGTGCACCGTCGCTTTAAGCTTCACTGGCTCTGCGAGTGGTTGGAAATGTCAGCCTAGATTGTGCCGAACTGGCACTTCTCGCATCCAACCAAACACGGTCTGTGGATCCCGAGAAAACTGGGAACCCCAACAGATCACGCCTTCAGGTTTATGTCAGGCACACTCAATTCTCACCATTCAGTCTAGTAGAGAATTCACTATACCGAAACGCCAAAGCGTAACCTGTCGGGCTTTCCCAAACCTAGGCTCAAACAGTAGGGTGTGGAGGTTAGGTGGAGCTTGAACACCAGCTGGTCCGAACCAGATTTGAGGCAAGGGCCAGCTTCAGGACGACAGTCCCTAGGCCACAAAAAGGCCAAGATGTACCACGCCCCTAGGGTTTCCATTTGCTTTCGCCATCGTTCAGGCCATGGCGGTATCGGTTCCTAATGCGTTCCCATTCAGTGTTTGCTTTGAAAGTTCAAACTTGAACTTACTTTCAAATGCGAACCAACGCACGACTGTTGTGACGAGTCAGGCCCTGATTTCTGAAGCGTAGCATCAGTCTGACGCTTCGTGGTTGGATGATGCAGCCTATTCCCCAGCCGTGTCGCGTCTGAAACAACCAACTACTGTCCAACTTTCGCGTTTATAAGGCACGCTTTTCTGACGCTACTCTCTAGGCATTGCTAGGAGCTGCAAGTGCTTCTACTTCTACGCGACGCGCCAGCGTAGCTAGTGATCATTGTAAGGGAAATTAGTCAGTGATCACTGTAAGGGTACCTTAGTCGGTTGTCATTGTAAGGAATTTTTCAGTCAGTGCTCTTTGTAAAGGGATATTCGTTAGTCATTAACGATGGACGGTAACTCCTTTGGTCGTTATCATCGCAACAACCGTGGAGGTGCATTTCCATTCGACCCACAACCTCTCGAAGCAAGCGACGATTTCTCCGCTCCCTGGCCCGCTCCCGCCAGCGGCATTGCCGGCGTTTCCCCCGCTTCCGCCTCCGCCGCTGTTTCCATCTCCCACTTCCTCCCCACTCACTTCAACCCGCCAAATGCTTCCGCTTTCGGCGCAGTCGCTGGTCCCCCCGCGAACCGTTCTGCTACTGCCGCGCAGCCCTTTATGAGCAATGACGCGCAGGTTCCGGTGCCTTCCGCGCCTTACGCGCATTCTGCGCCTTCCGCGCGTTCCGCGCCTCCTGCGCCTTCCGCGCCTTCCGCGCCGTCGCCGGCAGCTGCGCTTGAGTTCGCGCTGCTTGAATCGCAGCTGTTGTCCGCAGTGGGGCAGCAAGCGTCGCAGCAAATGTCGCAGGACGTGTATGAGCAGTTCGATCGCCAGGCACCCTTGCAGCGGTCTCGCCTTCAGCCGCAGCAATTCCAGCAGCATCAGCAGCAGCAGCAACAGCGGCAGCAAGAACAGCAGCAGCAGCAGCAGCAGCAGCAGCAGAAGCAGCAACAGTTGCTCCAGCAACACATATTTCAGCAGCAGCATCCGCAACAACACTCGCAGCATCATCAGCAGCAACAGCGTCAACAGCCGCAGCAGCAGCAGCAGCAGCAGCAGCAGCAGCAGCAGCAGCAGCAGCAGCAGCAGCAGCAGCAGCAGCAGCAGCAGCAGCAGCAGCAGCAGCAGCAGCAGCAGCAGCAGGCGCCAGTAGCGCATCCAGAGCAATTGCTTCAGTACATGGTGCAACAACAGCAAAATATTCAATCAAAGTGGCAGCAGCAGGAGCAGCAGCAGCAGCAACAACAACAACAGCAGCAGCAGCAGCCGCAGCAGCAGCAGGCGCCAGTAGCGTCGGGTCCAGAGCAATTTCTTCAGTACATGGTGCAACAACGGCAAATTATTCAATCAAAGTGGCAGCAGCAGGAGCAGCAGCGGCAGCAACAACAACAGCAGCAGCAGCAGCAGCAGCAGCAGCAACAGCAAAGGTACGATCAGTATGAGCGGCCAGAACCGTACCAGCAGCAGCAGGTCTACCGGCAGCAACAGGCTCAAGGGCAGTTGCAGATGGAACAGCAGGAGGTGCAGCAGCAGCAGCAGCAGCAGCAGCAGCAGCAGCAACAACTAGATCAGCCGCATTTCCTTGACTTTTTGGAACAGCAGCAGCCGCAGCAGCAACAGACACGAGAGCAGTTGCAAATGGAACAGCAGCAAGAACAGCAGCAGCAGCAAGAGCAGCTTGATCAGCCGTCTTTCCTCGAGTTCCTGCAGCAGCAGCAGCAGCAGCAGCCACAGGAGCAGCAGCCACAGCAGCATCCACAGGAGCAGCCACAGGAGGCACAGCAACGTTCATACTACAACCAGCAGCAGGTGCAGGAGCAGCAGCGACAGCCGGGAGAACAGGAACAGCATCAGCAGCAGGAGGTGCAGCAATGTTCACTCTACAACCAGCGGCAAGAGCAGCAGCAGCAGCAGCAGCAGCACGAAGAGGAAGTGGTGGAGTTGGAAGAGGAGGAAGAGGAGGAGGAAGAGTATGAGGAAGAGGAGCAGCAGCACGAGCTGCAAGGGTTTGCCAGCGAGGGATGTCTTAGCTCGGCAGTAGCAGGCTTGGAGCTTGTAGGTTCGGCAGTCGCAGGCTTGGCAGCGGACGGAGCAGACGCTTTTGATCTGGACGTTGTTGAAGTGGCTCGGGTGGGGGTGGAGGGAGCGGAGGAGGAGAATGGGGAGAGGCAGAGAAAGGAGAGAGGGGATGGGCTGGAAGTAGATGGGGAGGCTGGTGGGGTGTTTGGTGGAAGAGAGAGCAGAAAGAGACGGCTGGTGGACTTACACTTGACGGAAGGAGAGGAGGGAGTTGAGGTCGATGAAAGGGAGGAGGAGGACGAGGAGGGTGAGGAGGAGGAAGGGAGGGAGGGAGGGTTGGAAAAGAGGAAAAAGGGAGGGAAAACTAAGGAGCGAGAAGGTGAAGGAGAGGGGGGAATAGAAGGCGATGCAGTGAATGGGAGAAACAATGCCGCCCTGCTTCGCCCATCCATCCCCACGACTCCCTCGCCTCTCCTCTGCTCGGAATCCGAATTCCAACATCTCTTAACCTGCATCAAGAACGCTCCTAACGAGGATGCCATTTCCCTCGTGCTCCTGCTCCTACTGGAAGAGCAGCGCGCTGCCAACGAAACCTCCTGCTTCCTGCAGCGCCTAAGAGTGGTTCGCTCGGAGTACCTGCTCCGCCACCACTCCCTCGTTCGCTCCATCGAGCTCAACCTCCTCCGAGACATCGCTCACAACGACGCCGTCCATCAGCGCGAGATCCAACGGCTGAGACGCGTCTGCATGGCCGGCATGTCTGCTGGCGCCACGCTTTCGCAGCATCAGGTGTTTTATCGAACGCTGATCACGCGGCCGCGGTCACGCGCGTGGTGGGAGGAGTGTATTGACCCGAATAACCCTCCGGAATTGTTCCGGAAAAAGTTTAGGATGAGCCGGGAGACCTTCATGGAGCTCTGTGGGATGCTGGGGCCGCTTCTTGGGAAAAAGCCGAGAAAAAACCCGAATCTCTTGGACATCAGGATCGGAGCGGCAATCTGGAGGCTTGCCACCGCCGAGCCTCTCCATCTGGTTTCCCGGAGGTTCAATCTCAGCCGGACCACGGTGCATTTCGTGGGGAATGATATTCTCAAGGTGCTGAATGATGTTATTCTGCCCAAGGTGGTCGTATGGCCCGAGCCGGGCAGCACCCGGGCAGCTGAAATTTCTTCCAAGTTCCTGAAGCTGTGCGGGGTGGATGGTGCTTCTTCTGTGGTACAGCAGCTGGGGAACGGGCAGCTGATTGGGACTCTCTACACAACACACCTGTGTATCAACACGCCGCGGTCCAACATGGTAAAATACCACAACAGGCAGCTCACTGAGCGTCTTGCTCGGGAATCTTACTCCCTTTCCACGCAAGCGGTCGTCGATGCTAACGGGCAGTTTATCGATCTTTGCATCGGGCTGCCCGGCGCGCTTTCTGACGAGCAGGTGTTGCAACAGTCAACCCTCCACCAGAAAGGACAAGCTGGAGAGCTCAAGGGAGCGAAGGTGATCGGGTTACGGTCGTACCCGCTTCTGGATTGGCTGCTGGTTCCCTACACCCAATCAGAGAGCGCCACGTGGTACCAGACGACGTTCAATGAGTGCATAGAGAAGGGGACTGCGGTGGGGAAGGACGCTATTGGCCGGCTGAAGGGACGGTGGCGGATCCTGCTGAGGCGGGCTGAGGGGAAGCTGCATGAGCTGCCGCGGTTGGTGGGGGCGTGCTGTGCGCTGCACAACTTTTTGGAGCAGAAGGGAGAGGCGTTTGACCCTGACTGGGCGTATGAAGCATTTGATGACTTTGTGCCCGCCAAGAGAGCCGATGAGGAGTCCCCTGCTGCCGTGGCGGAGAGGGATGCGCTGGCCCAGGGTATGTTCCAGGCTGTGCACGGGTGGGAGGGGGGAAATTAAGGCAGGTATTTTCCCATCTTATGGTTATGGGTGTTACGAGGTTGTGGAATGCACAACATGGGGGGATGACTGGACCTTAACATATCAGCCGCATTGTGTTGGGTAGGAGTTCCCAAAGCCATCTTGTTTGCCATCCATGCCATCAGGCCATTTCCGTAACAAGTTAGGGTGTGTTCCGATCCTACAGCCCCCTACCAGGCAACTCCTTATCAGAATGCCTGATAGAATGCGCAAAGAGTCTTGGGTTTACGTGAATTTCAGTGTGATGCAGAGTGAGTCTGATACCTAAGAGGTTGCCTGATAAGGGGCCATAGGAACACGTCCTTACAAGCACATGTTCCAAAGAATCTCTTGCAACCGGTCGCCAAAAACTTTCCTAGAAAACCGTTCCTCCACATGTGCTCGGGCAACCTGACCCATGGAAGCTGCCCGAGAAAGATCAGCCCAGAGTAGAGTCAGCGCAGCGGCAAACGATGTGGGATTTGGAGAGCAGAGGAAGCCTGTAGCGCCATCAAGTATGCTCTCTGTGGGCCCCCCACTGTTGCATGCCACTACTGGCTTGCTTGCTGCCATTGCCTCCAACGGCACGATGCCAAAATGCTCGTTCTGCACACACATAAGGCAGAGAGCAAAAGGGCAACCAGGCTCAGTCTATGGCAAACCAAACAAGCAAACAAATATGAAAGATGATGTGCGGAATCTCCATGTGTTGGGCGTATGAGGAATACTAACTGGAGGGGTGTAGACTACAGCAGTGCAGCAGGCCAGTAGCTGAGCCTTGAGCAAGTCGTTGATGGAGGTGAGGAAAAGGACGTCGGATGCCACCCCTTCCATAACAGCTAGTTGTTTCAGCTCCTGCAGATACTCCACATTCTCCCGCACGCGCGCGTCACACCCACCTGATTCATAGGTGATGAAGGGAAGGGAAGAAGTGATAAGGTGGTGAGTCGAAGAAACAAGGGAATGGAAGCCAAGGGTTTAGGGTGTGGAAAACGTCTGGTTGAGAGACAGTGGGACAGTTGAGTTCTGTTGTAAGAGGTGGCTTCATGCGTCACAACCTTCGATGCACACGACACATTTCTCCTCGCCTTCCTCAGCACCATCACCAACTCACCTGCAACGACAAGTCGTGGCCGCTGGCTCTTTGCCGAAGCAGCTGCGCCATCCAGGCTGCCTTTTTCCTGGCTGTCGGAAGCGTCTGTGTGCACTGACGAGCGGGTGAGCAGCCCCAGAGCAGAGATGGCAGTGGCGATCTCTTTCTTGCGCTCGTACCGGTTGATGGACAGGAAGAAGGGGCTGGGGGAGGGGGAGGAGAGGGAGGGGGAGGGGGGTAGAGGGCGAAGACGTGTGAGTCCAGGTCAGGGGCTGTAGGCAGGGACCTATTTCTTGCGCTCGTAGCGGTTGATAGACAGGAAGTAGGGACTGGGGGTGGGAAGGTGGGGGGGGGGGAGAGTTGGGGGGAACTCAGTGATGGGAGAGGTCATAACAGAGCAGAGGTGGCAGTGGTGCTGAAGGTCTGAAGGTTTGAGAGGCCGGAAGGAAGGGAAGAAATTGATATATATATATATATATATATATATATATATATATATATATAACGGAAGCAAATTCATCATGGGAGATAATGTGCACACCATTCCATCCAGCCCTCTCAGCTCAATCCGTCTCAATTGCCCTCCAAAAATCACCTGTTAATATCAATCCCAAGTTTCTCTGCTTCGTCAACAGAAGGGCCTGGGGGAGCACACATATTCCTGCTAGCAGTGCTGGCAGTGGCAGAGGAAGAAGCTGGTGGGGAATCAAGTGCTACAGCTGGGTAGAGCACAGCGGGGCGAATTCCGTGTGATGCTAGCGAGGGGAAGGTGGAGGCGAATGTGGCTGCAGTGAAGTGACTGTTGACCACTATGGTGTCCGCCATGCCTGTGAGGATACAGAAAGGATGGAGAGGCGATGGGAAAAAGATGGAGAGGAGGAGGTGGTGAGAAGATGGACAGAAGGTGACTTGTTCCACCCAGTGAGCTCGGTAGAGCGAGCGCAGAGTGCGTGATCCACACTATCATGCACTTGCCAGCATACACACATGCCAGTACACATGCCAACAGCACGCACCAGTGGTGACCTGTTCCACCCAGTCAATGGGAGCTCGGTAGAGCGAGCGCACACTGGGTGATCAATGGCATCATGGACGTTCAGGGATGAACATGAGCATGCACACACATGAAATGTCATGTCAAGTCATGTCAAGTCAAGTCATGTCATGTCATGTCATGTCATGTCAAGTCATGTCATGTCATGTCATGTCATGTCATGTCATGTCATGTCATGTCATGTCATGTCAAGTCAAGTCACGTCATGTCATGTCATGTCATGTCATGTCAAGTCAACACCATCCTGCATGCACGCACCAGTGGTGACCTGCTCCACCCAGTCAATAGGAGCTCGGTACAGCGAGCGCAGCCACGAGCCTCGCTGGGCCAGCAGCAGGTCTGGGAAGTGACAGTAGAAGAGGATCTGTTATGGGGGGTCAGGCACGGGGGACACTTGTGTTAGTTTTTATAAATTCTCCCAAATAACACAAGCATAGTCTCGCTGGGTCAGCAGCAGGTCCAGGAAGTGACAGTAGAAGAGGATCTGTTATGGGGGGGTAGGGATGGGGAAAGCACGTGCTGCGATAGGAAACGTTACACAGGAACATGAAACAAGTGCCAAGATATATCTTTTTCAGTTCTACTTTGATGCGCCTTAGAAGTTGGTTGCGCAGAGGCATGTGACACGTGGTGAGAGAGAGGATAGGGTTGACACGCGGGGCTGGGCTGCTCAGCATCGGATAGACAGGAGAGCAGAGCGTAGGTGAGACAGGAAACGGAGGGAAGGGAAGGGGACGGGGAGAAGGAAGGAAAAGGAGAAGTGGAAGGGGGGAGGAGATGGGAAAGGAAATAGGGAAGGGGAAAGGGAAAGGGGAAGGGGAAGGGGAGGGTAATGAACCCACCTTGGCAGGCAGCAATCTGAGGATGGGATGGACGGCTGAGACTTGATCTGTGATGATCCCATCAACGGCTGGGATCCACCGGAGCCAAACCGAGACGACGATGCAGAGGGCCGCCCAGAGGCACCTGAGGTAGGTGCAGACTGCGTGTTAGACTGCATTTCGTCATCACTCATTGCGAGCAAATACACACCCTAGCTGAGAAAAAACTGATGGCAGCACCTGAGGTAGGCGCAGACTGCGTGAAATCGGCCGGCAATGTGGCGGGGGAGGAAGCTTCCATGCACGTGCACAGGGAAGGTGCCTGATGGAGAGGGGAGTGTAGGCGGTGGGGATAAAAAACATGGTGATGCGTTAGTAACTGAAAGCCCCAAGGGCGAAAATTGAGTCACAACGGCTTGGAAGATCAGCTTTACAACTTTGTTGCAATGCTTTCAAATGTCAATGCACCAAGGTTACAACAGTCTCTACTGAGAAACTACAAATCCATCCTTCCAGGAATGCAGCAGCATATAGTACCATGAATAGTCACTGCGAATCATCGTACCATCAATGGTCTCAGGGAAACATCTGTGGGGGTCATGACGGGATGTGAAGTCACGCACAATGTGGCCTCTTGACGCCAGCAATGGGTCATGATGGGCTTTAAGACAGCATATAGTACCGTCATTAGTCACCAGGAAGCATCCGTGGGGGTCATGATGGGCTGTGAAGGGGTGACCTCACAACTTAAAATCGATCATTTTAGGACATCTAACAGCATATAATACCATCGATGGTCTCCGGGAAGCATCTGGCTGGATCGTGATGGGCGGTGAAGACCCGCACGCTGTGGCCTCTTGACGCGAGCTCCGCTGCTGCATCCACTATCAGCCTCTCCGCTCCTCCTGTGTGCATGCATGGAATGGAGGGGATCGAAGGGATGGGTGGAATGGATGGGATGGATGCATGGGTACGCGGATGGAGTGGCCTCTTGACGTCAGCTCCGCTGCTGCATTTACTATCAGCCTCTCCGCCCCGCCTGCACGCATGCATGCATGCATGGATGCATGGATGGAATGATGATCAGGGCGAAAAGAGAAGCAGTAGGAAATAGCCGGAAAGATGAAACCACGGCAAAGGGGAGGACGACGGACGGAAAGAGCGGGAATAACATGGGAGTCCTAGAAGTGCATAATGGCTCACAGAACGAGGAAATACAGGAAATTGAATACGAGTCTTGCGACGTTGCAGCGACACGTTGGGATTCTAACTAGCACTGCTTCGTCATATCCGTTCGGCAACGGCTGCGGAACCCGAATCTTCTTCAAGGCTACAATCAGAAGAGTATGCAATCAGAACATTGACTTCACCTCTTCCCATCATGGATTTTTTCTTCGTAACCATTGATACGTTCGGCGGTCGAGAACCCGCGACGCGACTCACCTATCCCCAAATCCGGATGGCAAAAAACAACGTGCAGCTTCCTTTCATCGCGCGGCGACGACGGCAGATCCTGCTGACTCCCCATGGCTCTTGGGAATTCCGAGCTATGAACCTAAACGAATATTTGTCGCATTATCATTAACAAAGATACATAAACGATTATGAGAAAGCCCTCAGAGAGCTCGCAAACGAAATAACGTTAGTAGTAGAGCACATGACTATTGCACACACATGGCGATCTGGCGAGCAACGGTTCAGGAGACTTGGACTATGAGATGGGAGCGCAGATTCTATAAGTAATCAACCTGCTGTGAAAGAAAGCACAATATGATATCTGACCCGCTAAAAGCATTCAACTACAAACCGCTTCGTTCATTGCGCCGGTACTTTTGCTCATCACATTCCTTGCTAAATAATGTTGCTACTCCTTTGGATTTAATTAACAAATGAAGTGGATTTAATTTGAAGTGCTACATTTGAAGTGCTACCTGTTTCCTGAATCATTTCCAGGATTCTCTGAATGGTAATCTCCTCCACCTTCCCTAAGCTGCTGTTCTAACCACCTAATTCTAGCCTCAATGTTATCTAACCCCACAGCACCCCTTGTCAAACCTTCAACACCAGCATCGGCCTCACGAGAACCCAGGGGTGCTAACGGTATAGACGCCATAATTTGTGGATCTGCAGCATTATCAAGAACCACTCCCATCCCAACCTCTCTTTCTAGAGGATCGGCAGACAGGAGCCCTGTCACCAGATCTTCTGGATTCCTTATCCCTTCCCGGAGGTCTGCCGATGCGTGGGGAGGGTTGGGGTCGGGCCGCTGAGGCAAAACGTTGGGGAAAATGGGTTCCGTGGGCCAGAGGTGACTGGATAATTGATTGGACAGGTTAGTGTAGCCCGGTGACTGGGATTGCAGCAAGCTTGCTAGTGCTGGGTCAGCAAGGATTGTTGCCATAGCAGACGGATCAATTTGAGAACCCACTGTAGGGGTGATTCTTTCAGCCATTGCAGCAGAACGTGCAGTTTCCTGTAGAGGACCTGTTTGAAATGGCCAGAGAGGAGTGTGTAGTGACGCAGATGCTTCTGATGCTGCCAACACTGCTGCTGCTGCTGCTTCTACTGGTGCTGTTGTTGCTACTGGTCGAGAACCTGATGCTGGAGCAGGCAACGCCGCACCTTGCAATGCCAGGCCATAGTTCTGACCCATCAGTGGCACCAACCCAGCTGCCCTCACACCTGATCCTACCCCTGCTGCATCCCCCAGAGAATTCACCACTCCCACACCGCCAACAGGCCTTACCATGGGTAGAAACGGGGAGGGCCGGGCAGCCACAGAGGAGGAGACAGTAGCAGGAACGCTTTGCCCTTGGCTCATTCTGCTGGTGCATGTGCTGGCCTTGCTGGGCTGCCTGTCACTGCCGCTCGCCGCAGTGGTAACCCCACTTCTGTAACTACCGCTGCTGTAGCTTCTGCTGCTGTGGCTGCTGCTGTTGTAATACCTTTCGCTTCCATGCTTGCTGCTGCTGAGCCCTGAACGTGTGGCTGGGTGTGCAATCGACTCCCTAGCGGCTACATTCTGAGAAGCGCTACGTTGAGAGAGTCTGCTCCCACAGGCGGAGAGAGACTGCATGCCTTGGCTTAGTGCCTGGTCCCTCAGTGCTTGTTCCCTTGATTCTTGGTCTCTTGGTGCTGGCTCCCTCATTTCCTCCTGCTCACTTAATGCTTCTTCCCCTGCTGATTCTCCTGTAGCTGCGGCAGCAGGTGGGGCAGAGAGAGCTGGTAAGCTGACTACTGGCTGCAGTGCAGAGGCTCTTGGTGCCGCAGCTGTGGATGCCGATGGGATGTTGAAGCTGGTCTCTAACGCTTCTGCTGCTGCTGCATCAACATCTGTTGCTAACGGCAAAGAATCTAAAACTTCCGGAGTTGCTCCACCTCCCACCCCTACTCCCCGACCACTTGTTCCCCTTGCTCCTGCTCCTGCTCCTGCTCCCTTTTCTCCTCCCCTTTCCCCCCCTCTTGATCCCACACCTGATGCTGTCCCTCTACCATCACCTCCTCCTCCTCCTAATGCCACTTGTACTGGTTCCACTTGCACAGGTGCTACGGCTCTCTGTGCACGTGCTGCTGCCCCTCCTCCTTCTACTGCTGCTTCTACCATTGCTGCTGATCTCGCTCTTGCTCCATCTTCTGCTGCTGAAGCCACAGCGGCTGTAGCTGCTTCTCCTGCCGTTGCTACTAACGCTCCTCCAATTGCAACCGCCAGAACCTCTGGCGGCAATGCTGCCAGCAGGGCCCCGTCCAATGTTTCCCCTAACGCCCCTCCTCCCGCCAGCAGAGCACGAGTTACAGCAGGAATGCACCCCAGCGATTCTTCTCCAGTCGAGCCCACTACAGGCGTGCCACTTGCCATGGGAGGAGGGAGATTCGTGCTTCCCACAAGCTGGGACGAGGGGAAAATTGGCGCTGACGGGTTTGGAGGAAGAATTGGCAGCATGTCGACGGGAGTTAGAGGGGGCAGAGAGGGTGGCAAACGTGGCGGAAGGGAGGCGAAACGAGCGAGGGATGACCGAGTGGCATTAGGACGAACGGCGGCGGGCAAGGAGGTTCGACGGAGAAGGGAGCCTAGCTGCTGCTGATGCTGCCGCAAAATGGAAAAGGCACTGGGGGGGTGAGGAGGTGGCAGCATTGCTGGCTGGATCTGTGGCAGCATTTGCAGTTGATGTTGGGATAGGGTCCATGGCTGTGGTTGGAAGGAGGGATGCTGCTGTGAGAGAGGTATTGGATGGTGCCATGGCAATGAAACTAACGGCTGTTGCTGATGCTGCTGCTGTTGCTGCAGCTGTTGCTGTTGCTGTTGCTGTTGATGTTGCTGCTGCTGCTGTTGTTGTGGCTGTTGCTGTTGCTGAAGCTGCTGCTGCGGCTGCTGCTGTTGCTGCTGCTGCAGCTGCTGTTGTTCCGACTGTTGCTGGTGCTGTTGCTGATGCTGATACTGCTGCTGCGGCTGTTGCTGTTGCTGTGGCTGCTGCTGTTGCTGTTGCTGCTGCTCTTGCTGCTGCTGTCGCCGTTGCTGCTGCTGCTGCTGCTGCTTCTCCTGTTGATGTTGTTGCTGCTCTTGCGGCTGCTGCTGTTGCTGCTGCTGCAGCTGCTGTTGTTCCGACTGTTGCTTGTGCTGTTGCTGATGCTGATACTGCTGCTGCGGCTGTTGCTGTTGCTGTGGCTGCTGCTGTTGCTGTTGCTGCTGCTCTTGCTGCTGCTGTCGCCGTTGCTGCTGCTGCTGCTGCTGCTTCTCCTGTTGATATTGTTGCTGCTCTTGCTGCTGCTGCTTCAGCTGCAGTTGTTGCTGTTGCTGCTGCTGCAGCTGCGACGGCTGAAGCAAGTCCAAATCCCTCTGTTGTTGTGAAAGCTGCAGCAACAGCGTCAACTGTTGAATGCTTAAACTCTCAAGAGAAGTTGGTATGAGCGAGCCCATTCCTGAACCTAGAGCTAATCCATGTGCAGGGCCGTCAGACGAACTAGGAATGGCAAAATGAGCACCAGAATTCGACTGTAACCGCAACTGATCCGGCAGCTGTCTTCGCAAGCTATCTGTGAGCATTGCCTGCTCTTGCAACCCCAAACTCCCCCCTTGCAACCCTCCATACTGCCAGTAAGAGTTCCCAGAAGTACCTTGCTGTTCAGCAACCCCTCCAGTTTCTGCTGTCCCCGCGCCTTCCTGCCCTGCAGTTCCTGCAGCACCTCGTGCATGTGAATCTGTTTCCGCGCGCACTAGTGCCGCTGCTGCAGCCTGCGCCAAAAGCCTCTCAAGTGCAAGCTGAGTCTGCTGGCCGGCTGAATATTGACTCTGCCGATCTGCTACAGCCTGGTCGGCTAGAGTCTGCCTCTGTCGTTCTGCTACAGCCTGATCAGCTAGAGTCTGTCTCTGCCGTTCTGCTACAGCCTGGTCGGCTAGAGATTGCCTCTGCCGTTCTGCTACAGCCTGGTCCTCCGCCTGGGCTCGCTGCTGCCACCGCTGCTCCAGCTCCTGCTGGCTATCCATGAACCGCTCAAAGTCAATTTCTGCACGCACGTGGCAACATGCAAGGAATGAGAGATAGAAACAACCTGCTGTTAATCTCTTTCTGTGTGTACCCGCAACATTTGACACACTTCTAAAACCCATAAAGAAATTTGCTTGTTACTTGATACAGATCCAGACACAAGGTAGGTATAATCCATCCATGTCAAAAGCTCACGACGCCTGCACAGGTTCGCATGGCTTTTTTTAAACGCCTCATAGTAACTGAATCTTGGAAAGGAAGGGGAGGGGAGACGCTCATACCACGTCTGCAGGCTCATGTGACCTTTTGTTTAGTCTCCTCAAAAGCAAGGAAAAGGACACGTGCAAAACACGACTGTGATTCACGTGACCCTTCGCCTAGTCTCAAAAGTCACCTCAAAAGAAGGGGGGCAAAAGATGAGCATACCACGCCTGTCCAGGTTCATGTAGCCTTTTGCTGGGTTTGAAAAGACACCTCGGAAAAGGGGAAAGGAGGTGATCATACCATGCCTGGGCAGGTTCATGTAGCGTTCGCTTTAAAACCGGAGGGGCAAGAAGGCCTAAATTGGTTCAACCTTCCTAACTTCGGTTGAGTTTGGCCCTGACACCCAAAATCTTGGCCAATCGCATTGCTCGCCCCAACCAACCTTCCTAAGGTTGAACTTCTTGGCCCCCGGATTTTAACTCAAAAGGCAGGTTGGAAAAAAAGGGCGAAAGATGAGCATACCACGCCTGTGCAGCTTCATGTGGCCTCCCAGTGCTCGCGGATCCTGAAACTCCCGCTTGCAGAAACGACACTCCACCCCCCGTTCTATCGCGGGAACAAAGCCTCTATCAGGGGGAGTCCCTGAATCGGCGCCTCCAGTCTGATTCGCCCTCTCGTGACCCCTACTGCTAGGTGAATCTCTTCCTCGTGCTTCGCTACTTTGACCTCTGCCTGACATGGGTGAGCGGTTAGTAACATTCCTGTGTCTTCTTGACAGGGAATTGGGGTTTCCCAAAGCAGGATTATTCGTTACTGGGTTTTTGGAACCATGCAAACTTGATCCAGATGATGCAGATGCTGTCCTAAAGGACGCACTCTGCGCGGACGCGCTCTGAGCAGAGACACTCTGAGCGGACCGAGAAGGTAGGAGAGAACCCGAGGGAATCCGAGACAGGAAATCTGATACTGGGGGATGAAATTGTGCATGTGAGTGTGCTCCCTGGGCTGAAAACGGCTCAAAACCCCGTGTGCTGCTGTCTACACCAGCAGCATCGTGATCAGATCCTCCTAGCAGGCCTCCTCCGAAAGGAGCCAACGCCAGCAACCCTCTGGAGGTCGCTGCACCTGCTGCTGCTGCTGCTGCTGCTGGTGCTGTTGGGCTGAAAACATCATGCCAATCTTTTGCTGCTTCCTTCACCTCTGCTTCGCTCGGAAGCACCTTCACTTGCCCGCGTCGTCTACGCCTCTTCTTGTATCCGCTCCCACCGTTCTGATGGTCTTCTTGCTGCTGCTGATGATCCTCCTGCCGCTGCTGCGGCTGCTGCTGCTGCTGCTGTTCCAGCTCCAACTGCCTCTCGTCCTGTTGTGGCTCTTGCTCTTGCTGTTGCTGTTGCTGTGGTTGCTGCTGCTGGACCTGGTCTGGCTCTTGCGGCTGCTGTGCATCCTCGGCCAATTCCAGCAGCTGCGGTTGCTGAGAATCGGCTTGAAGCCTCTCAAGCATCCCTTGTGCCAGGCGAGCCTGCTCCTTCGCCCTTAACTCGTCCATGAGATCCCTTCAGCTATCTCCAATGTTTCTGCTGCTCATTTATATTAAACCCCATCACCATCTTCAGTGGTTCAAAAACTCACTACCGTAAGACACAGTGACGGCGGTGGTACACCATCATGGTGTGGAATAATCCCTCATTTATCCAACGCCTTTCCTTGAATCCAGTAGAACACAGTAAAATATTAACCATCCAAACCATTCCGCGTACCACTGCAGTCCATCGGACTCTTTAGGGACCACTCTGAGTCTCACGACAATTTCTGTCCTAAGATCATCCTCGGATAACGGAAGAGGGACTTTTCGGACGAGCAGGAGTGCACGTAATCGCCGCCTTTGCCGCGAGGTTCGGAACCTCCTAGATGTTTGTGCTTGAGTAACAAGTTGATGCAATCTTCTTGCTGCACTTTGTGCTCATGCAAGCGTGCGTTGTTGGACGACACGTGGCGAGAAAACCCAAATATGCCCGTCATCGTAATCATGATATGCGTTAGGAGTCTGCAAGTTTGAGGACACTGCCTTTGCAAGCAAAATGCTTACAGGGACCTCTTGTAAGGATGGGAGCTACCTCCTGCAGCTGGGGGTGCT